TTAAAGCCAAATTTTCTGCAGATAATGTCATGTCCATTAACGGTTTCTTGTATGTGAAAAGGAGGAGTAATAGTGTATAACGAGAGGACGCTTTGGGTTTTGGTTGGCATTAGAAGTTCAGTTGAGGAGAGTGCTTTAGTGCTTAAGTAAGGACAGATAGGTAAATCCCGGCTATCTTTTGCAAAAGACATGCAAATTTGACTGAAAGGAAATTCGCGGCTACACAGCAAGAGCTAGCTCGGAAAGCTTCGTATCTGAGAGAATTCTAGCCTTCAAGTGTGAAGTCTATTTTCTTGTTCGGGCTACCCTCGATTCGCAATATCTCATCCACATATTCAGATCGAAAAGTTTGAGTTTATTTTGATACATTTCAGCCACTTTTTGTCTGTGCATTGACTTTATGTAAACCTTTCTATAAGTGACACAAATTTCTACAAATAAATCTAGCTTAATATGATTTTGACAAGGAGGAGTATCTGTTGATTGAAACCCAAAGGATAGAGAAGCAATCTTCAGTGATTTTTGTGCATAACTTTAAGCTGATAGAGAAGAATGATAGAATGCTGATGATAATGCGAAAATTGTTTCCAAATGACTTTTGATAAGTTAACTTTGACATTAAAATGTTGTGAAATTCTTTTCTTTTCAGTACTACGCCTGACCCGCTATTCAAAATTGGATTTTGGCGTCAATTTACAATTTACTATAAAACTATCAAAAAGCGTCTCCATTTAAAGGAAATCTATTTTGCACACTACATAAAATACATCCTTGAAACAAAACGGGATTTAGAAACTATAGTAATATATTAAGGATTCATTTAAAAAATCAGTGAGAAATTTGTTAGTCTATTGGTGAGACCATGTAATTGACCCTTTCTTCGCCTAGAAACAAAATTTTCAACACACATGAGTGGGTACCAAAATCATTACAATTTTGAGTATAAACCCTTCGGTCCTTCGACAAGCTTTTGTCTGTTTAAAGTTGTAATTGGAGTAGGCGATGCTGGAAGTGTAACCACCATTATTTTATTCTCCCTCTAATGTGTGTCACCCGGAGCCCACCAGGCTTTCGACAAAGCCTTAGGCGTTGTACTCACATTTTCGCATATTTTTCTACCCTTCCACTTTCGCCCTCCTTCGTATTGCATTAAGCTGGACTACTTAATAATGCTATCAATTGAGCTGACTTTGAATAAACGTATTAATGCTTCTGGCCATGCACTCTCACATTTTCAATGGAATTCTTCTGGAAATGGCATTTATCGTGGCGTTCTTTATTATCATGGTCATACTGCTCCTATCCGTCTTTGCAGAAACTGAGTTTGCTTCGCCACTTTCTCTCCTCAAGGAAAATTCTAGTGCTTCCTCACTTTACCATTAGGGGAACAAGCAAATCAAAAGGTAGAGGGAAATGCCATTGTTTTTTTCATTGATGGAGTCCAGATAGCCGTCCGCGGTTTTATTGTACCTTTTAAAGATACGACAGATGTTGTAGCTGTA